AGTAGAGCCAGGATTTGTTAACCACGTCATCAATTAGAAATCAAGGTCAACAATAGTATTATGCTAAGGAATAAAATAAGGTTGCAATTCTTTTCATTGTGGATAAACGACGACTGACATAGCTTTTGTGTGACTTCTATGCGTGACTCAATTGCTTCCAAGAAGCTGCAGTATGTTACCTACTAGTGGAAAAAGAGATTTATTTGTATCTCGTAAAATTAGAGAATAACAATTTAACCGCTGATTTGAAATCACTTATTTGAGAATCAAATATCTCGTTTGTTGACTTTTCCATTAAAAGGGTTGATAAAAAATGTCTATCAATGATGATTTTTTATTTTTTCCCCCAAAAATATCCTAAACCTATCTTATTACTCGCACCTTAAACGTAATACACACAAATTTTCCCTGTTTATTATTTTTAATGTAAAAACCACTAGGAAATTGACAGAAATACCACTAAATTGGACAAAGTTATCGATTGTGGCAATTAATTAAGTTGACTAAATTGATATTTGTGTGTACAAATCTTGCACATAATTTTGCCTTCATGTCTTCCAGTAACAATGTGCTATATAATCATAAGCAAGAGCATAATCAAAGCCAACAGTAACACACTTAAACACACTAATAACACAGAGATCACGAAAAAATAACTAGCATATAATCTGAATCCAACTCTTGCGGTGGCTAGTCACCTAATGTTCAAAGGTTGAGGGTAATTTTTTTATTTTTTTATTTTATTTATTATTTTTTTTTTTATATTAAACTTCAGTAGTGGTACTTGAATAAACTAGACCTTCTTCCTCTGAATGAAGTATTGCTTGTCGATGTTCCCATCAGCCACCGGTTTTGTAGGATGTAAAACATGTCGACTTTGTTCTAAGAGCATTTGGTTAAAAAAAAAAAAAAACATGTTACCTCCCAGAGCAGAGTGTATTTCTGAGTTCCTAACTCGATTGTGATCCATTTGCATTCCTCATTGGACCATTAAAAGAGATGTTTGTACTAGGGTCATATAAAACTCTAGAATCGAATTGGATCGAAATGAATTAATTGATTCGGTTAAATTTTTCTTAAGTTAAATACTCGAACATGTATCAAAATCGTAAACTAATGAGTTTGGCTCGATTCTCGACTATAGACCAAGAATTGAATAACCGAATGTTCCTATTTTCTTTTATATTAAGCCACTGTTTGGTACGAACTAAAATATAGATTTTAATCTAAATCAAGGTCAACAATTTATTTCAACCACGTATTTTATGAGTCCCACAACTTTTCAACCATACATTTTATCAACTTCTATCAAAATCTAATAAATGTCTAATTTTAATTTCTATCAAATAGGGGCTAAATAAGTTAAACTATTTTTTTATTATTTTTTTTATTTTGTAAATAAATTCGCCAATTAATTAATTGAGCCCACAATATCATTTTCTTGTTTTTAGCCAACGCCCGACTTTGTAATTCAAATTTCAAAGAATCAAAATTGAGTTTCCTAATTTTTTTCTCAATCATCTTGCTGTTTTCAAATAATTGAAGTCGAGCGGTTGCGTCTCTTTCATCTGACCATTTTTCTACCATATTCATTGAATTTTCTCCACTTTGATCAAGGTAAGCTAAGCTTCATCTCACTCCTTTCTAATAATTTCTCTCTCTTCAATGCATAAACTATAATTTATAATTAGTATTCAAGATATTTATTGTGAGTTGGCACGCATTTGTGTGTTTTCCTTTGTCTCGTTAGCTACCTTCCTTTCTAATAATTTCTCACACTTCATTGTATGAACATTATGAATTATAACTAGAGTTCAAAATGTTTATTATTATTTGTATATTTTTAAATTGGACTACGTTATTTTGTAAGAATTAATATAATATTGTTGTAAAAATTAAAATTGGACATGTCATTAGTTGGATTAATGTAATATTGTTATAAATGTAAAAAAAATTAATTATGGTACGGAACAAAATCGAATTCGAATGGAGCCGAACCGGTGTGATTCCATTTATTAAATACTCGAAAATTCTAATTCGATTCAATTTTCCTCCGAACCAGACGTTACCATGTAAAGTGACACAAAGATGCATTTATTTCAATGCAGAATTTCATGAAAGAATTTTCTGAACATGAATGCTCAGAATTAACAGACAAACTAGATAAAAACATAGTACACCCAACCTCAACAAAGCAAAAGGTGAAAACTTCTGCATCTTTTGGTACTTGGTTTAGCTAAGTTCAGGAAATTTGAATGCTCAAGGATATTAATTTAGACCAGTCTGGGAGAGGAGGAGGATTGTGGTTGAGTAATGGCTAACCAGTGTAAGCTTTATCAAATCTCATGATATGAATCCTAATACACCTATCATAGGGATGTCGCTCAACGAATCAACATAAAGATATTTACGTAACTGACCCGATATTTTTTTTAATTAAAAAGACTTTTTTGTACAAAAAATGTTTAAAGAGTCTTAAATCAAATGTAAACACCAACCCAAGTATGGTAAACATAGTCTCTATATCCTTGTATGGAAACCAACATTGGTATCATGACATTCCTTCAACATGGTCGACACTCGAAGGGAGGTTTTTGGCAATACCAAATGCCCCTTTTCAGATTTGTATGGCCGGCCTCCACCACCAGTTTTGCCCTTCGAGAAGGGTATTTCAGTGGAACAGATGTTGGACAGAGAAGTGTTACAGGAATTTAAAATGCAGCTCACTCGTGCCCAGTAACAAATGAAGCAGGTGGCAGACAGAAAGCATCGCGAGGTCAACTTCGAAGTGGGTGAATTGGTGTATCTTAAACTCCGCCCACATCATCAGAAATCGATGGCCATGAGGCCGCGTGCTAAGTTGTCTCCACGATACTTCGGACCATTTGAGATTGAGGCAAGGGTGGGTCAGGTTGCTTATAAGTTGAAACTCCCAACTAATGCTGCTATGCATCCGATTTTCCATGTGTCACAACTCCGAAGGGCCATAGGCGCTGTTCAGACAGCCTCTCACCTGCCTCCACAGCTAACATCTACTGAGTAGTTTCAGATGGAGCTAGAGACAGCGATTAAGATCAAGCAAAATGTTGAGACTCAAACCATGTTATTTGTGCTCCCATATTTTCAGCCAATAAAACGTGTTTTGAAAACACGCTTTTATAAATGGCATTCTGTCTGATGATGACACCTAGCTTAATTCCCATCGTTGGATGAAGGGTTTACGTTCTGGTGATATAAATAGGATGGACCGTTCGTTGGCTCAGTGACTTTTCATTTTTGTGACTCTTGAGTGAGGTTCGAGAGAGTTCTTCGTCTCTCTCGAGTTAGAGTTTTCAGTTTTCCCTATTTTCTGTAATCGATCATCTCATTCGATTTTGGAAGGTTATTAATCACTGTATATTGATCTTTTCTTGAGTGAAACTTAGAGTTCTCATGTGTTGAGATTAGGAATGTGGTCTGTTGATTCGGTGCGAGTCTGAGGCAGATTTGTGGTTCCTTTTGAAGAGATAAGTCTCTTTCTTGTGTATTCTTATAGTGATTGAACTCTGTAACCTTCGATTGCCTGTTTTTGGGACGTTAGTGCAACCGAGCAATATCCACTTCGATTGGATGCTCAACGGGGGATTAGGTGCTTATCACTGAACCTCTGGGGCTTCGGTCGAAAAATCTTGATGTGTTCTTTATTTTCTGAAAGTTTAATTTCTATTTTGAGCTCGATTGTATCTTGCAATTAATGTGTGGGTTTTTTGGCCCCCCTTTCACAAAATCCTTCTACCAACGAGCGGGAAGTGTTAATTCAGTGGAATGATTGTCTCGAATTTAAGGCCACATGGGAACTTGTTGAGTTGATTCGTCATCAATTCCTGGACTTCCACCATGAGGATAAGGTGGATTTCGGAGGGGGAGATAATGATAGACCATCGGTCAAAGGGGCAGTCAGCGAAGAGGAAAAGAATCAGAGCAGCAAAGTAGTTAGTCATTTAGTTAGTTCAAGGGGGGTATTTTCGGTAGTTGAGTCAGTTTATGGAAGGATGTAAATAAATATGAGGGTGGGCGTGAGGAAAGGAGATCATTCGCGTTTATTGTAGTGTCACTGCTAGTCTTTCAATTCAAGGAATAAAGATACATTTGCCATTGAATTCTCTCTCTCTCTCTCTCTCTCTCTCTCTCTCTCTCTCTCTCTCTCGTTTGTTTCTGCCTTCTTTTACAGGGTTCCATCACCCTACTATAGCTAACCAACTAGTAACCTATCAAAAAACAGCTAGATAACTTTCTTTTAAGAATGGCGAGGCGGTGGGGGCCTTCAAGGTTGAGGTTCTACCTTTTTTTTAAGTAGCGATATTGAATTTGAGCTTTTTGGTTTCAGCAATGACAGATTCTGTGGTTTCTGCCATAACTAACTGTAGAAGCTCTAGAATTCTGAGAATTTTGGAAATTCAGAATGTTCATTTAAGGGGACTTAACTACCAAATATATAAACACTAATGATTTTATTTTGGATTTCTGTGATTCTTTATGGGGTTGTGAGAGTAATGATGATGATTTAGTGTGCAAAAACTGGGACCAGGTAAAAGAGAGAATGCAAATTCTTTTCGGTTTCCACACAGTCAGTGTGTATGTGCATGTCAGTACAGTGACAGAGAGAGGAGTATTGGAGAACTAAAGTAAAACACGGGGGAAAAAGTGGTTGTTAAAGGTTAAAGCTGAGCTTTAAGCTATTCAGAAACAGAATGACTTTAATTTAGTCTAATAGATGGCTGCTGGATCTGTCTCAAAAACTAATTTCTAATATGTTTCTTACGTTGAGAATGCAGACCGATTTCTTGATTCATTCCCAAGATCCTCCTAAGAGAAAATAACAAGAACATAGAAGTAAAAATAGAAAATAATAACAGGAACAAGAGAACAAGAATTTACATGAAAACTTTCAAAACCGAATAAAAACCACGGGCCATAACAAGAACATAGAATTAACCTTTTCTGGGTCTAGTTAGTCCAAATTGCAAACCAAGCTCCATTTTCGAATATAAATATTAGAAAAAGGTTATACAGGGAGAAGCTAAAATGGGACGTATCTGTTTATCTTCCTGTTACTGGATTGCAAATAATGACAGAAAACTAACACAAGCAGTAGTGACATGCTTTCATACAAACAAACATCATATACACTATTGAATGAAATCATATGAAACTGTTATCAAAGCCCACACTCACACATGGAAAACATACACAATATTTAGATCATGAAAACTCTACTAGCTTATACTTCGAACTAACTCTCCTGGTAGCTAGTCACCTCATGTTCAAAGGCTGTGTTTTTTTCTTGCTTGGCTTGGGTAGTGGTACTTGAATAAACCCGAATTTCTTCCTTTGAATGAAGTATTGGTTTTCAACATTCCCATCAGTCATCGGTTTCCTAGGATGTAAAATATGTCGACTCTGTTCTCGGAGCATTTGGCTCAAAGAAATGTGTTGCCTTTCAGTGTGGTTCTCCACATGCTTTCCCACCATGAAATCGTCCTGTAGAATCAATTTCCTACTTAGAATACTTCCAATTGAAGTTGTTTTAAAACCTGATTTCGACTTTTCTTTCTTCATGTATGATTCATTTCCATTAGGAACCTGTGGATTCCTATGACCAAGAGAGGGATGGGAATTCCTAAACTTGAATTGAGCAGGATGAATCTCCGGGTTCCGCACTCGACCACGCTCCATCAGCATTCTGGGATAGGATTCCTCAGTCACAACTTCTGTTCTATGAGTTCCCTCATCAAAATCAACTTCTCTGGATTGTTTGTTTTCTAGTGGCTGCTCAAACTTCTCAACAATGGCTACTTCGGACTGGTATGTGTCTTTGGTTCCAGGTGTGGCATTCGCCTCCATACATTTAGTCTTACACACCTCTTCAGCTTGCTGAGCTTTTTGAATAAGAGCACGATACTCTTTAAACGATAGAGTTATTCCATTAGGTTGGTGAACATCTAATGAATTGTCACCATTAAATAGTGCACCTTTTTCAACAAAAGCGATGGCTTCCAGTGCTTTGGCGGCTTCTTCCATCTTTTTGGCTGCATTTAACCTCATTTCTGCCATTTTAATACTGTTCTTTGTTCGTTCAATCTCCGTCATTGCCCTCATTACCTCATATCTAGACGCTTCTGTCATCTTCTTGAATTGCTCAGTCTCAGAATTCATTTGTGTTAGTTCCTTGAAGAGATTCAGAGAATTCCCAGAGCCACATTCCATTTCTACTTTCTGATATATATCTGGCTTTTCCCTAGATGCATGTCGACACTCCTCAAAAGACAAGACTCCTTCAGAAGTTGGCATTTGCCTCTTGGTTCTCCTTTCAAACATAACCTTTTCTTTTCTCATTTTCATGTTCAGAGACTCAACAGATCCTCGGATTACATCAAGATCTATTGACATCTTATTGAGGTCCAATTTCGCCTGATTCAGCTCCAAGGAAATCAAACCAGATGATGGAACAGGACACAGGCTCAACTTCTCAGTCTTGTTCTGATTGGACTCGGGAATGCTGCTGTCCAATTTAGTGTCAGGACTGTTCATGAATGAAGTCACTTCTTGCATCAAGCTCAATTTTAAATATTCAGCAAATCTTCTCGCTGCTTCCAGTTCTTTTAAGACATTAAGTGTTTCCTGTTCTTTCACAATGAGATCCCTTTCCAGTTGCATTGCCTGTTCCTCCATTTTCCCCATGTCAAAGGCCTCATTGTCATTCTGCAAGAATTAAAATTTATCGGACTTCTGAAATAATAGGATGATAGATTATACTTCATTGATGCAATTGTCACAGGTAAGACTTTCATTTTTATGTCCCCTCTCACGTACTCAGAGGGCTTGTACTCATAGAACCAAAAGGATCCAATCTAAGCACTCTTCCAACCATGAGTGACAAACCATTTTCTCATTTAGCTAAGGGTACGAAATCAATCAGATTGATTTTCGATCAAAAGTACTATGTGAAAAAAAAGACTGTTTGTTTCAATGTAGAACTTTTTGGAAGTATTTTCTGAATGTAGATGCGCAGATTTTATAGCAGACAAACTAAAATGTGAAAAAAGACAAGTGATTTCATTATAATATTGAAGACCTCTGACCTCCAGTCTCCTGCCACTCCTAGGTATATGTTTCCCTTTTCTTTCATTATGAGATATAATTCTTTTTCTTCTCAGAAATCAATTAAAACTCCACCTCTCTTTTCATAGTTGGTCCCAAGCCTGTGCACCGGAAGGGAATCGCAATTGGTCGATAGCCAGCTTAAAACTACATCAAATTTTGTGACATGATTCTAAATACATTTTGTGGGAGTCACTTAATCAATTGAAAAAATTTCATGCAACATATTTCAAATTTATTTGGAAAAAGGCTTTCTTGTACTAACATTAATTCAAGAGTAAAATTACAATGTAAATACCAATCCAAGAATGGTAACATAGTCTCCATACCCATGTAAGTTAATCCTTCCTGGGTAGAAACACAAAGTTTGTGTATCATACTTTAGCACATTAGATTCCTTGTTCATTTCATAAAAGTAAACAAGTGGTACACCAGTTATTTTTAATCAGTAAACAAAAACAATGAAAATATGAACAGGGAAACAAGTCATTTTCCTTAGAAACATTCTTACATATACTTGGTGCCCAACAAAAGAAACCTTAAAGATAATTTAAGATTTGAGTTAAGAAGAGATGGGACTGACATGATCAGCGGCTAAACGAAGCCAGTGATGAGGAATCCAAGGTCCACTGCCGCCAAACCGGTCCACCGCCTCCTTAACCGACTCAAAAGGCGGTGAAGTATCAATTTCGAATCTGGGGTTGATGATCTTTCTGGTGACTGATTCCGTGGTTTCAGCCATTAAAAAAAAAAAAAAAAAGAACTTTACAAACTCTAGATTTCAGTGTGAATTTGGAAATTCAGAATGTTCGTTGAGGGAATTAGCTACCAAATATATAGAAAACTAATGATTTTATTTTGGATTTCTGTGAGTATGTAAGGTGGTGTGAGAGTAATGATGATGTTTTGCGGTGTAAAAACTGGGACCAGGTAAAAGGGGAATGCAAATTCTTCGATATCCCAGCGTGTATGTGCGTGTGTGTACAGTCAAAGAGGAGCACTGGAGAACTAAAGTAGAAGTGGAGGGAAAAAGTATGAGTTAATTGTTCCGATGGTCATACAACATGATCCATGTCTATGATTGGCCACTCATCTTTAAAATATCGAATTTTGATCACTGAACTTAGGTTGATGTCTTTGATTGACCACTGAACTTTAAAATGTCGAGTTTTGGGTACTGAACTTTTAAAAATGTCAAATTTTGGTCACTGAATTTACAACTGAAGTTTAAAATGTCGAGTTTTAACCACTAAATTTTGAAAAATATTGTATATTATTAACTGAATTTTGAAAAATATTGTACATTACTATTGAACTTTAAAAATATTGTACATTATTCACTGTAAACTCGATATTTTTCAAAGTTCAACAGTTATGCTAGTGAGTAACGTATGGCATATTCCAAAATTTGACATTTTAAATTTCAATAAACAATCAAAGACATGAACTTAAATTCAGTTACCAAAACTCGATATTTTAAAGTTCAATGACCAATCAAAGACACAGACCTAAATTTAACGATCAAAACTTGACATTTTTCAAAATTTCGTAACCAAAACTCGACATTTTAAAGTTCAGTGGCCAATTAAAGACATAAACTTAAGTTGAGTGACTATTGAAACAATTAACTCAAAAAGTATTGGTTAAAGGTAAAGCAGTGCTCTAAACTTAAGCTCCTTCAACTCTTGTAAGTTTGATTAATAAGTAAGGACCATATAAATTTTATTAACCAAAGGAGGTATTAATTAATTCAACAAACATTTATTCCCTATTTGGTATGAATTAAAATCTAATTTTTATCTCAATTCAAAATCAAAAACTAATTTTAACTATGTATTCCATGAGATTCACAACTTAATCAAGTACATAAGTACAATTAATTAATTTTTTTGGTTAATTTAATATATACTTAGTGGATTAAATCATATTCAATTGACTATATAGGTAAAAATACATTGTATTATTAATTAAGCCCTCGTTTGAGTGTATATTAAAATCAGATTTTTAGACGATTTTAGTGAAAGTTGATGAAATTTGTGAATGAAAAAAATGGTAAAGTGAAAATTATTTTTATACAGTTTATTTGCCTATTAAAGGCAGATGGCCTTCCCGTAAAATTTTCACAGACAAAAGTAGAATCCCTTTTTGACTATCTATTGATAATGGAATAATTTAACCCCAATAAATTTTATTAATGCTATATTGACTTATTAGGATTGTAATTTCAGTTTAGGTGACGCTACATGATAGGTTAAATGAAAGGTGAAATTAAATAAGTTATTTAATTTTACTTATTAATTAATATCATATTAGCGTCATTTAGATTGAAATTGTAATCCCAATGAGCTAAATATCATTACTCAATAAAATTATTTTATCTATAATCCATCGTGAGACATACATAATACTCTGTCAACTTTCATTAGAGCTTTCTTGAACTTGCGTTTGCACATCGTGTAGAATATGTATTAACATTATGTCATTTTTACAAGTGATCCCCCATCTAAAATGTCACCTAACCAACCGATATATTTACCCGTTGAATTATTATTTTTGTACAATCGAGGTTTATAATCACATAAAAGGGATCCACGATTTTTTATTCAGTGTGGGCCTCCTTCTCATGTGTCTAATTGTCAACCGGGGTTGATAGATTGTACATATAGCACAACTGTTACCCGTTTGGCCCTCATTCTCATTTTCATTTTTTTATTTTATCTTATTTTCAATTACATAATCTTCCATAAAATAATATTACACGTAAATAAAAAAAATTTATTTTTTCAACCACATATTTTAAAAAAAAAATACTACTCCAACAATTAAAATTTAGAAAGAATGGGGCCAGCTAATTTAAGGCTCTTCAGCCATGGCCTAGAGATATCAAATGAAGCTCAACTGCTCAAGTGCCATTGTCTTTTGTCTATGTTAATTTCCGATTGAACTCACGGTACGTTACCTTTTAATTATTATGTGCAAGAAATAAATTAAAATTTTATTTAAATTTATTGTTATCCATTGTAAGTATAAAAATAAATACATTAAATATTCTTTAACAATTTATTCTTCACAGATGATAGTTTAATACAATGATCAGAATATGTTATATGATTTACAAGTCGTTTTAGGGAACGAGAACTTTATTTTGATCCAATTAAGTCATTAATATTAACTCAAAAACAAATATTGCCAACATTTGATTCTTATTCTTTCACCACAAAAATAAAAAATATGATCATTATCCATCACATCAAGTCATTATATTCGATTTTTTATCTCTTGTATGAATCCCTTAACGATTATATTTTTCACTTTCATTCTTAACAAAACAGGAATCAAACGGGTCATAGTCACCTTATTATTAGTTAAATTAACATTTATCACAATGGTTGACTTACATGCCGACTTGAAACTCTGTGACCACAATCATGCACGCATGACGTTTTAATGTCACATTAATGATAAATGCTAATAGCACACTTCTTTTTATTTTTTATTTTTTTTAGAGGAAGGCGGCACTTTCGAGATTTTATTAATTTGCTCTCACTTATAGCAGAGAAATACCATGGTTACATATTAAAAAAGGAAAGCGGTAAATTAAAAAGACTACTTCCCTTACATTAATTGAAAATGCTTAAGAAAATATGTTAAGCACTAAAATAGGAAATACTACTTCCCTTACAATAAGATTTGATGTAATTAATAACAAAAAGCAAAAACTAAAACTAAAAATTAATATAAAATTATAATTCATATTCTGAAGTTGGGCAGTCCATGTCTCTCAATTTGCGCGAGTGCTCGAATATGACGTGGTAGGTCAGTTGCTGGTGATCCCAACCTGCTACGACAAGAGCATTTACAATCTGGTTTCCCTCTCTGTAGATATAGGTAATTCTGTCTGTATCGAAGGAAATGATGTCTGCAATCTTTCTGAGTACGCCTTGAATAGCCCATGGTCCTCCACCTTTGGTTATGCAATGAATGGTCACATTGGAATCTACCTCAACCCAAATGTCTAAAAATCCAAGACCTCTAGCCAATAGTATCCTTGATATAAGTTATCAAATTAAAGTTCATTAACCTTGATATAAGTCAATAAAAGTATAGTGACTTGTAAGAATAATACTACATGTATATAATTGAGTCATATAATGATTTACATATAGGTGAATGTCAAAAAGAGAGTGAATTTTTATTTTTTGTTAAAAAAATTTTAACTTAATTATATCTCACTACTTCATGTGTATATTTATATCATTATTTATATGTAGCACAACGTGAGTTGTAATGCATAAATCCATATCAAAATAGATAAAAACCTTGAGTTAAAATTTCCTAAGGTCTCGTTTGTTTTGTCTTTAACATGTTTTGTTTTTAGTTCATTTTCAATTTTCATTTTTGAGGATCTATTTTAATATTGATAAAAATGAGTATGTCTTATAATATCTAAAAACTATTTATCAAAACAAAAAATTAGAAAATCGTATTTTGTTTAAAATTTTAAAAAATTATTGTACGACATTTTATTCTATTAAATTTTATTATTCAGTAAAGTAGACCAATTTTATATTATTGTATCATTAAGGAATATATACATTTTAAAGTTAGTGGAACCATCAATAATATTTTTTCATTATTAAAACAATAAATTGAGTTGACAACACATAGAAAATTTAAAAAATTTAAAAAAAAATTAAAAAAGAATGATGTGGCCAGCTAAGGCCCCTAAAGGATTGCTTAGTAATAAAGGAGGTAGGGTGCAGAGATAGCCAAAAGGCTTACCTAGTTACAACCACCCTTGAAAGAGTGCGTAATAACTCACTGATCGAGTGCTCTTGCTCTGAAGATGAACGGGGCTAAGCGATCTACTGATATTGTTGGATGTAAAAATACATCGATAGGGAAGCGTTCCGCCTTAGAAGGAAGCCCCGTGCGAACAATGATGGACGAAGCGGAAGCGAGAATGCTGACTTGAGTAACGCAAACATTGGTAAAAATTCAATGCCCTAAAAACCTAAGGGTTCCTCTGCAAGATTCGTCCATGAAGGGTGAGTCCTAAGATCAAGGTGAAAGGCGTAGTCGATGAACAATAGATGAATATTTATGTACTACCCCTTGTTGGTCCCGAGGGACGGAGAAGGCTAGGTTAGCCAAAAATTGGTTATCGGTTCAAGAACGTAAGGTGCCGTTGCTTTTTTAGGGTAAGAAGAGGTGGAAAAAATGCCTCGGGTCCGGATAGAAACCAAATATCTTGAGCGACCGATCTGACAAAACCATAAGCGGTACGAAGCATGTTGCCGCCAGAAGCAGAACCTCATATTTCTTTTAGAGAATCTCCTAATTGTTCAGTTATTAGACGAGATTTCAGGGAAAAAAAATTCTTTTTAGGAGAGAACAATTTTTTTTTATTTTTTTATTTTTTTTATGCGAAAACATAGGAGAAAGTACTCTTTTTCATTATATTTAGAATGAAAAGGGATTCCATCATATTCATATAATTATCAAGCGCTTGAACTATTTTTACTTTTTATTATTTTTAAAATTTTTTATTTTCCTATAATTTATAGAAATTTATTTTTTATAATATTTATTTTTTTCATAATTTTGTAATTTTACTTTTTTAGAATTTGTATATTTATATTTTTTTTATTATCTTTAATTTTTTTAATTTTTATGCTTATGTTCCATATTTTAAGTATTTTTAGTGCTTTCATCAAACATTTAGAATAAAAAAATGTGTTTTAAGTTTTATGTTACAAGTTTAACCTTATTCTCGAAAATGTATAAAAAAATATATTAAATCAAACAAATATCAAGTGTTTTGCAAAACTGAAAAATGGCAAATCAAACGCCTAAGCATTTGATAAAACAAAAACAAGTAATGAAATTCTTTGTTAGGTAAGTTGTAACTCAAACAAAAGATGTAACGATTTGGCACTGTCTTTGAGAGAGAGCCTTGGTAAAATAAATGTATGCGAA